TGTACTATACGGCAGTGTATTTTTTTTTCTTACTACTTGAGCATTTGATGACATTTCTTTAAATGCTTAAATTTCCCTTATTAGGATCAATGAAATGTAAACTGAACAATCAGTGCAATTATCTATAAATGCAACAGGCCTACACGTGAAATCAATTGTTCCTATTTGTTTTCATACACATTTATATTCTTTCTGCTCACACCTAATTTTTAACAAGCCAATCAATTCCCAGTGAATAGAATCTGCTACCTTTTGGAATTTCCTGTTGCACTTTTGGGATACATCACATTACAGACACAAAATGGGTCCTTCTCAGTGCCTGACCTGTCTGTTGATAATCTTTTTATCCAGGTCGTCCCAGAGCATTTTCAGCTCATTCATTGGCTCCAGGATGGAAGTGCGGTCGGCTTCCTCTACCACCTTCTTCAGCAGCAGCCCGGTCTGATGGTTCAGCCTTTCCATCTCGATCTGAAGCTGGTATGCATCACCTTTGAACTCCTTTACACACACGACAGCACAGCTTACATCAGGATACTGTTTCACTCTGGCTGCATTTACACAGCAAGGATTAATGCAATGATCGGATATTTAGATTTTTGTTCTCCCTGTTAACATTCACTAAAGACATATCTGACTGTCTTCATGATAACATACTGCAGGCTATTGTGTGCCACTAATAAATTCTTGTAGGAATTACGTACAAATAAAATCTTGGGCTAAAAGCGTGTTATTTCACCTGCAAGCCATTTTAAAAGCATGAATGGTTAAACATTTACAATTGTGCAGTCTTAAACCAACTGTGTAAGATGAAGCAAATGAATGGCTGCGTGTAAACACAGCTGCTGTGTGGTCTGTCAGCTCAATTATACTCACGAAACAATCAAAAATGAAAGAGGCTGGAGATAAATAGCTCTAAACTTTGATCTAGATCCACTATGACTGACAAAAAAGCATCGCGTCATGGCTATGAGAAAATCTCCCACACGCAAGCAGTAAATCAATACCTTCAGCTCCTCGATCTGCTGTTTCACAGTCTCCAGGTCCGTGCCCACGGGCGACATCGAATCCAGTTTGCCTTCCAAAATATCCACCGAGTCAAACATGTTCTGTCAGGGAGGAGAAAACTATTGTCACAGGCTGCACAACATCCACACCTTGCATCGAGTCGAGTTTCACTTATAGCCCCGATACAAATGTGGCTCAGGTGACAGTGAAAATTAACAAAACTAAGCCACACCTAAACCAATTCTACTCAAATCTGAAGTTTTGGGCAAACTGGTTAATATTCACAATAGAACAGACTTTATGAGACATAAAACTTGAATTATTCAGCAACCAGGGTGAATCATTTGCTTAGCATGATTAAAGTAGGGCATGTTCTCGATCTGGTTACGCTATGACAATGACAAAAAGCACTTTTTTCTCTCTCTCTTTTTCAAAGTCTCCACGTACCCTCTTGGTACCAGCCTGGGCTGAATCACGTCACATGAATCATTCATTTAATACAGTTTTTTCCCCCATGAGCACATTCAGCATGATAGCAGATCAGACTATGCTGACTACAGACTAGCTCGGGAAGCTTCCCATGACTGCATGAGCAGACAGATCTGTGGTCAGAGTCATCAGGAGGGTAGTGGTCTGTGTGTGTCATATTTACCTGGAGACTGTCCTGGAACTGCACCGCAGCCTGCATGGCTTCCTCTAGAGTCTCTACTCTCTCTTTCCATGTCTTATTGAGGGTTTCCCAAGCTGAGTTCACCTGAGGGACGTACGAGATGTGGTCAGACATTATACAGTGTGACGCCAACTCTGACTCATCCAGCACTTCAGTTACACCAGGAACACTTACATCCTGGGTCTAAAATGAACAATTCAACAAAATGTATTCCATTTATTCTCCTATGAAGTCATTACCTCATCTATACTTTTCTTGATCACTGGTTTATCAGGTTCTCCACACGCTGTCATAAGCTCCGCCCCCAGATTCTGGACCACATTCAGTTCCTCCTGCAGCCCGTCGATCTCTTCTCTAAAGCCCTGTGAAGCAAAACAGCAACTATGAAGATGTTTCGCAAAGCTGAATCAATATCAAACATCCTGTTCTGAAGCCTCCAGACCTCTGCAAACTCTTGCTGCTGCTTGACCACTGAAGGATCGACTCCAGGCTCCTCCAGCTCTTTCAGCAGATCATGCGTGTCTTTGATGGTGACGATGAGAGCGCAGTGATCACACCAGAACTTCTCGGCTAAGTCCATAACATCCAGGAGCTTGGCTTCTCTTTCCTCCAGAAGAGCTTGGATGTCATTCCATAGAAACACCATCTGGTCCAGATTATCTTGAATAGCTTTAAACAAAACAGAAGAACGCATTTTATCACACTGCTTTAAAACCAAGTAGTCACTCAAGCCCAGATCTCATTCGCTGAGAAGACAACAGCACAGTTACCTTTGGCCGAAAGGTCCTTGTCTGCTCCTTCGGAGCGAGCGATCATCTCCTCTCCTCGCTGCTTGAGGGTCTCATAGGACGGCTGAAGTTTCTCCAGGTCTACATTCACGGCTTTGTTCTCTGATATCTGCTCACGGATCTTCTCCACCTCGACAGAGATGGATGGAGGCTGGCGCAGGCGTTCGGCGATGCGCTCCAGAGACTCCAGCATGGGGTCTATCTTATCGTGGAACTGTGGAGATCATTGACAAGCAGAAATGTTGTCAAAGAAGTCATTTACATACTTAGGTCTTGAAGGTATGGTAGCAACAGCCTGCTTTCTTCTTCTAATGATGAGAGAGAGGAACATTAAAGGGACAGTTCACCTAAAAATTGAAATTATGTCATTATTTACTGATCCTCAAGTTGTATGAGTTTCTTTCTTGTGTGGAACATAAAAGATGGTAATTTGAAAAATGTTGGTAACCAAAGAGTTGCTGGTAATGTAAAAATACTATGCAAGTCAGTGGCTACCAGCAACTCTTTGGTTGCCAACATTCTTCAAAATATCTTTTTTTTGTATTGAACAGAAGAAAAAAAATCATACAGGTTTGGAACTACTTGAGGGTGACTAAATGATGACAAAATTTTCATTTTTGGGTGAACTGTGCCTTTAACCAATGCTACAAAAGGGCAGAATACGACCCCAGTGAAATACTGCAATGTACCTGAGTGGATTTGGAGGTGGCCTCGTCCAGGGCAGCAGCTCTGTGCTTGACGTCGACTTTAAGCTGGCTGTACAGTTTGTCTGCGGCCTCGTATTTCTCTCTGATTGGTGCCCCCTCAGTGGGACTCAATTCCAGCAGCTGAGGTCCAGTTTTATTCATCTTGTCAATGTGTGGTTTGTGCTCTGCTATCAGCTCTCTCATTTGCTGAAGGTGGAAAGTTGAATATGATCAGAATAAAAAGCAGTGGATTTTTCATAACATTAAAAAAAAAAAACTGTTAACGGTCAAACACAATCTGACAACATATCACGCAGATCTCAAATAGCATCTGTCTGGCCACTGATGTACATAATACTTTATCCTCTTAGCCATTCTAATGAAGCACTAAGCCATTTGAGGTGCTGCATTACCATGATTTCCGCACAAGGCGAAACTGTAAACCATTATATGTAAATTCATAGTCACGAACACCATATTGCTTTAACAAAATAGCAACTATATATATATATATATATATAGCTATATATATCTATAATATGTGAGTTAATGTATTCCTCTTATCGGCAAGACATATCGGTATAATTTTTTAATTTTTGCCGATGTCGATATTTACATTTAAAGCCATTATCAGTCGGTTCCGATATCAGTCCGATAATATCGTGCATCCCAACTCCGCACACATACATTTTATATAATATTTTCACTGACTTCCAATATTGGTCCGATAATATCGTGCATCCCTAATATATATATATATATATATATATATGTAGGGTTTGGAATCGAAAATCAATTCCGATTCCAGAATCAGATACTTGAGGTCAGGAATCGGATACTTCTTGTCAAATAAAAATTTTGATTCCGCCCATCAATTCCTATGTGCTTTTTTTTTCTTCATCTGTGAGGACCGGACCTAGCGATCTGCCAGGACCTTGCTCACTAATCTAAGCGCTCCGAAGCCAAAAAAGCTAAGTATAATATCTGTAATAGCTAAACAAGTTGCAAGAGAGGTGTCACCACCAACATGACAAAGCACTTTAATTTAATAGATTATTAAAGATCGCGAACACGATTCAAACATCATGTGATTCTATTTCTAAATCACAATGATTCGTCTGTTTCATTCCTAAACCTTTGACGTGTTGTGATCAATGTTGTGATCACTTGGCTCGTCCGTGCAGCGTACGATCACACCAGTGTGATTTGAACATTTAAATTTGCGTTCGCACTGCCATTGACCTAAAGAGAGCAGCTATCATCTGTCATGAATGAAACAGCCCCACAGTCTTTCCAGCCACACAGTATCATTATTTCTGTTACAATCATTCAAATCACAGAAGTACTGGGATAAAAGTTTATAGTTCAGATATAAACTGTGTGTACGATGTGTATGGTAGCGATTAAAATAGAAATTTTATATATAAATAAAGTAATTTGACACTTCAAATGAAGATTTATCGATTACATTGTTACGCCAGTAGGTGGCGAAAACGGGCTGTTAAAATGTATTTGTCTTTGAATCATACAAGAGATTCGTTCAAGAACGCTGATTCATCTAGTAATGAAACAAGTACATCTTGAGTGAGTCATTTAATCATTAATTCATAAATTACATGCCGGTTGTAGCCTGTTGATTTTTGTTCATGGAATTCAGCTCCAATAAATGGTTTGCAAAAAAGAGTCACAGGATAAATGTTTGATATCATTATTTAATCACATTGGAATCAAAACTGAGAAATGAAAAGAATCGGAATCGGAATCGATAAAATTCAAACGATACCCAACCCTATATATATACATATATGCAATCTGTGCTATTTATCATTTCTTCTGAATGGATGAGCAGCGCACCTGTGTTTGTGTATTTGGCATAACGTAAACTTTAGTGTGAAGGCGCACGACTCGCTGACGCTTTCTCTCACACGCGCATAACATGCAGAATTGATGTGATACATGTAAACGATATTCTTTGTTGTATTTTCCTGTCAAAATAACAGAGTTCCTTTGGAATTCTTCAGCTTTTAAGAAATGCTGGGTTTCCCAGTAGCGGCAACTAATGCGCAAATGACAATCTCATTGGCTGGTGCTCACCTATTATCGTCCCTGTTTAGATTTCAGCAAATCAGTTCGAGCGAACGCACACAACCTGATTAATATTCATGAATCCAGAAGCTTGTTAATCCTTGGTGCGCTTTATATTGTTCTTATTACTAGAATTCGTATAATGATAATAATAATAATAATATCTTATCAGTATTATTGTTAGTTTTTTTTTCTTAAATTTTATACAGGAACACTGAATGACCAAAAAAAGCACCAGCACCAGTCCTAAATTCATGGTTTTATATATATATATATATATATATATATATATATATATATATATATATATATATATGTGTGTGTTTGTAAAATGGCACAGCTATATATATATATATATATATATATATAATAAGTATAGTATTTCAGTCTGGCGACTAAACAAAAAAATGTACTAGCCAATGGCGATTCAGTTGCCAAGGTGTCCGTAGAGGGTTGGAAGAGTTTTCAGTCTTACCCTCAGCTCCTCTTGTTGCTGTCGAAGGGCTTCGTACTCGATAGCTGGCTGGGACAGCTGAGTGAAGGTAGTCCTCGTCTCCTGCAGCCATGGCCAGAGTTCATCGTACGTCTCCCAGAACTGGGAGGCTAGAGAATGAGCTCTCTCCAGCTGCAGACAGCGCTCTGAATTCAGCTGACTAACCACAATGTATTTCTCTGACAACGCCTGGAGCTTCACCTGTATGACACCACAGTGATTTTAGTCCTAAAACTCTACTGCACGCAGATTAGGCTCCGTTTTTTTTATACGTTTTCTTTTATTTACCCTCAACGCCTGCTTCTCTGCCTCATCTTTGTTGTTTATAATGGCCTCGCTGGTCTTCACGATGACATCCACGGCATCTTTATGTCTCATAATGTCCATGGAGAAGCTCTGGAGGAGAAAGTGTGCTTTAGGCAATGCGAGCTTTATAACGTACTGTGTGTTTCTGTGATTCTGGGACAGCGCAGGTTAGAGACGACCACATGAACACACGACTGACCTTCTGAGCCTGCAGTTGAGCTGTGGTCTGCTCCGGCTCAAGCCTGACGTCCCCAAGGCAAGACAACTTCCTCTCTGCCTCCGTCAGCCACTCGAGCTCAGAGGTGGCTGCCTGCTCAAACTGCACATCAGGGAAAAAGCATTCACACACTGTGCATATCACATTTCTATACACCATACAGTATTTCATGCAATTCAGCTTAGATTAATGTCATATAATTTAAGACACAGAACTTAATATTAAATTAAAATAAACCATTACAGTGAGTACTAAGATTTACTATGTAGACATATTATTTTAATGTTCATAATGAACGGCTTCTTCTCCAATTCAACCAGAGAATTATTGGAAACAAAGCTGCGAAATCATGCCATAGAGAAATTCACAAATCTTTGAGCTCATTAACATGATTCCCCACATTTACATAACAAAACATATTGAATATCTGGGCAAATGAAGACAGATTGTTACTTGTTTTACAAGCAAAGAAATTAGCCAATCAGGTAATTTGCATATATACGTCTAAAAACAGCATGCTTAATTCTAAGAGCACAAAACGTTCGTGAAGAAATTAAATTAAGATTTTGGTTCAACAAACATTGACATAATAACTGGACTCATAAAGTCACAAAAATGCATACTGTTCCTCTTTATAATAACCAAATGACCAAACTTAATAATAATTCAAATGTATCATATATTTACCTTACATATTATTTTACAAACCTAGGCAAGTCAGCTACACATGAATTAATTTAGGGGCCATTTACACGACAACGTTTTCAGCCAAAAGCAGGAAACTTTTTATGCGTTTTGCCTGTTCGTTTACATGACAATGGCGTTTTGGGGACTGAAAACGCATATTTTTGAAAGCGGGTTTCAAAGTGCAAGTTTTTGAAAATGCCACCGTTATCGTTTAGGTAAACACCCAATACGGGAAGCTTTGAAAACGGTGACGTCATGTGCGTGCATAGTACGTGTTAGGTATGTAGACATGTGCAGTGCGTGTCGATTTTAAAGGCAAGCGCGAACAAACATACACAACAATGACGGAGTACATGGTACTGTTGTTGCTGGTCAAGAGTTTGCTAACGCTTCTTCAGCAAAGTGTGGATTTAGTTCACCAATATTACAACAAACAGCAGAGATGCATCATATACACACGGTAACAGGTACTGTTTACTAACAAGGTGACAGCGCCAACTACTGGCCTGGCATACGTAATACAGCGTTTTTGACCGTTTTCTCGGATATGTGTTAACGCTAATCGTTTTGAAAACGTTGTCATGTATACGTGAAACTTTTTAAAAACGCAAAGGAAAAGCTTTTCCGTTTTTGACTACATCATTGTCGTGTAAACGTAGCGTAAGTCTTCTCACAGCACAAACAGACTAATGTGATGCAAATGTAATCAATCTGGGTCACACTCCATTAGTATATTATGTAAATACCACCAAGGAGGCTCAAGAGGATAAATTAGGTTTGAATGACTATAAAGCACTAAGAATTAGCACCACAATGAGGCCAGTCACCCTTGGCAGCAATCACAGGTGCTGCATTGTTTGGGCGCTTCAACAAACTTCATTGTGAATCTTCCTAATAAAAGGGTGGTGTTATTTGCTCAAGCAGCTGAGAACCACTGTACCTGCTGGGATTTTAAGATGGCAGCTCCGGTCTGGTCTACATGCTGTGTAATGGCATCGCTGGCCATTCTGTAGCGCTCATTGTCATCTGTGACCATCCTGTCCAAACCTTCTCTTGCTCGCCATGGAACGAGTTCCAGCAGAGCACTGCTTACTTCATTAAGAGAGTCTACCAGTGGCTTCTGATCCTTAATCTCCTTCATCAGTGTCTGGATGTGACAAGTAAAGAAGTAGTTATACATCAACCAAATTTGACAATATTTGAATACTGAAATCATAAACACTTTCCATTTTCAAATATACTTTAAATACTGTTTCTTTTGTGTGTGTGTGTGTGTGTGTGTGTGTGTATGTGTGTTAATTAAATATTTGTTTTTGGTAACACTTTACAGTTTCCTTGTTATATACTTACTAGAGTAATAACAGTAAATTATGCCTAATATCAAGCAACTAAACCCTAAAAAAGAACCAACCCCAATTAAGTATGTGATGTTAACTAATATAACTCAGTACTTGTTTGTGTAATTACACTGTCACAATGACGCCTTAAAATACAGTGCACTGTAAACTCATTATTTTTTTAGCCAGTGTATCATTTTCCAAAAGGGTGGCCATCTGTCCGGTTTTAGATCGGACAGTCCTGTTTTGAAATACCATGTCGGCCTACCAGCACATTCAGACACTAATAAAAAACGAGTGAGTAAATAAATAAATAGACTAGGTTTAAGTTAATATTAGGTGGCATACATTTTAGACAACATTTTGTAAATATCTACTGTTTTGCTCTATTCTGCTAGCAACATTTTTGTAGAAACAGAGTCCCAGCAGAGCCACTGTTTCTCCTGTCAACACAGTGGTGTTTCAATCCTGAATGATTCAGCGTATTTGAACAAATCAGTTGAGTCAATGACCTATTTGAAGACAGTCACTTGCTTCATTCTTAAATGAGTCGGCCGTTTTGAATGAAATGGTGGAATGAACTTGATGCCACCAACTCAATATATTTTATATAAAAAATATGAATCTTGTAACATTATTTATGCAATTGTAACTGTAGTGTAGATGCATTCATGGCATCTCTGAGCACTATTAAACAGATTGCATGAACACATCTAATTGCCACTTTAGATGCAGCTTCTGTGCCAGCTCTGCAGTACAAAGATGGGTTTTGTTGATACTGATTTCATTTGATTGGAAAACAGCCCTATTCTAACTGTATTTTTTTACATATTTAAGAATTTTCAGGTAATAAAGAGAACATGCAATTGAAATGGTAAGAAAAGTCAATTTTTTTCCGTTTTTCTTCTGGCTTCAGCAAGTCACGCAAAGTGTCACCATTTTTGGTGTTATAGAAATGTAACACCCTAATCAACATCAGCCAAAAAAGAAAAGTCTTTGCAACCACTTCATCATTGGAGTCACACTTGATTTTAAGTTAGTTTGATTCAATATCAGCTTGGCCTTATCTGTTTCTCCTAAAATGCATTTTTATAGAAATTGGATTTAATTGGATTTCAAATAATTTGGTCTGGCAAATTTACACACAATGAGGGGGAGACTTACAAAACTCTGTTTGTTTAGTACTTTAGATACCTAGCATAAACACTTGAGATCTCATTTGTGATTTGTTTTTCCTATGGGTTAACATGCAGCTGCAGCACTAACACTTACTTTCTGCCTCTCTTGTAAGCAAGTGAGCTGCTCTCCGACCGGCTCTTGAGCTTTAAACACGGCCAGCTCAGACTCTACCTTCTCCAGCCAGGCGTTCAGCTCCTCATGTGTATTTTGCAGTTTTGTGGCAAGAGACAGGGCTTTGTCCAGAGTCTTTGAAACATTGTTGCTCATTGTGTTGATCTCTGAATACCTCGTCTTTATTCCATCTAGTTTACCTTGGATGACGACAACCTCATCGCCTGAATGAAAGTGCACACACACAATACAGACATTCATACAGTTTCAGAGCATAGAAAAAATTTCTTTTAACAGGAAACCTTTTAAATGTTGGTTATGCAAATATATATATAAAAAAATTGTTATTGCATTTGTTACATAATCAAATTGCAATAGAACTATACAAATATCAATCCGTTAGCTATGTTTTTTTGTTTTTTATCTCACCCGTGGTCTGTTTTAGCAGTTCTAACCCATTAAGGATGGCCTGTTCAATATTTTGTTTCCTCAACTCAATGTCTTCATGAAGAGCCTGGACATTGAAACATACATCAGTCACAAGCATCTTCTGACAGAGTAATACAAAATCATACCACACCACTGAAGACAAAGAAATTAAATGAACAAAACAGGGGAAGGAAGCCTTAAGAGGAGGAGCGTGTAAAGTACCAGCTGCTCAGCATGCTGTTTAGCGAGCACGGCTGTCGTGTAGTCTTGGATCGAGACTTCGCTCAGTTTGCTGTGCAACTCATCGAGCCAGGTCATTAGGGCCACTTCGTCCTCCCCAAAGAGCTGCGCATTAGCCAGGGCCTGCCACAATAACTCGGCCTTCTGGCGGCAATGCTCCTGCAGCTCGATGTAGCTGCTGTGTGTGTTGTCAAGCTTTGCCTGCACCAGCTCCTTGTCATCCACACAGCTGACCGTCCGTAGAGTCTGGCCCAGACTCATGGCCTGGTACAAGATCTTACCACGGCCCAAAACCTCCTCCTCTAAAGCCTGATTACCATGGAAGTCACATGACCAGGGTGCAGAAACCATAATAACAGAAAAAGAATGGGTCAAATGAGAACACAAGGAAGAACAACAGAAATACAGGGAAAATGGGCAATGGATAAAAAAAGTAAAACGCAATGGAAAACAAACTAAACATGGTCATGGGACTATGCCGTCGCTACAGATGGTTCTGTACCTTATGCTGAGAAATTTGCTCCTCCAACTTGGAAGTCTGCGTGCCAATGGGCTCCGAGTTGGCTAGTCTTTTTTCAGTAGCTGTCAGCCACTCCGTCAAAGGCAAAAGGGTCTCATGGAATTGCTGTGCCACCACCAAAATATTCTCCAACTGCTTTTGCCTGCCAAGATCATCGCAGTTAGTTTTATTGCTGGACATGATTGAGTTTAATTATACTGTACCGCGGCATATGCTAAAACACAGTCCTTTACCCATGAAAAAGACAAATGATATCTTATGAGCAGAGCTGGAAAATAAGAACTGATTCTTATTTAGAGCTAAAACCTAAGATTTGTCCACCAAAGCAGTCAAAATGATAATAGCCTATTCCTATTTGACTTGCCAACAATGGACACGTCATTTCCAAAATGTAGCAACAGATTTGCGGTAAGTTTTACCTGTTCTCAGCTTTCTTAAGTAGGTCATCCCACCTTTGCCCAAGGCATTCAATCTCTCTCGCAATCTTCTCCTTATCAACAGTATCAGCTAAGTCGGTCACCTTCCGTCCCTCCGTCTTAATCAGCTCTACCGTAGCCCTTCGGTCATCCAGCAGTCTCTGCAGAAGCTAGACAGAGCCAGCAGAAACAATACAGAGGTGAGTAAAACCAAAAAATAGATTTCAGATCAGTGAACTAATTCTCATTGAGGATAAAGTCTAAGCATGTCGGCCATCATACCTTCTGCTCTTGTATCTGTGCTTTCACCACTTTGAATTCTGCTGATGGAGGCTTCTGATTGGCCACCAGCTCCTCAGTGTCTGTGAGCCAGCTGAGAAGGGACTCCAGTGCATCCTGGAACCTGCCACAGTGCAGCAGGGCTTCATGAAGCTGTGCAGATCGCTCTGCAACCTGGGGAGATCACAAATACAGCAGTTTTACCTTAAAACTATAGCTTGGCATGCTAGAAATTACTCAGTTTGTTAGTGTAGCATCTCACACTACACCGCTTTTTGTAATAAAAGTTCGATATTGGAAACGCTACACTATTTTAAAGACTATTCCTTAACTACTGAAAAGGTAATAACATCACTATTTGGTAGTTACTCACCAACACTGGCAAACATTATGATTGTTATCAAAAAATTATGAGCATTCCAGAGTGCAGTGGACAAAGAAATCAAACGATTCATCCATGATATTGCACCTCTTCAACTGAATTGTAAACCATTTTTGAAACTAGATGAAGAGTGGGTCTTACTTTTTTGTTGAGGGTGTTCCATCTGGTGTTGACCTCCTCTAGATCCTGATCAAGTTTTTTGGTGCTGGTGCCTTTGGCGGCATTTTGGATCAGTGCCTGGCCCAGAGTGTTCAACTCCTGCAATTGGCTCTGCAGTGACTCAATGACGTCCCTTTGGAAAACCTGCATGTGATAAATACAGAATAACACTGAAAACCCATAGAAAAATTTAAGCTGCTACTACAATCCTATTCAGGGGACCAACATCCAAAACATATTCTAGAGGCCAGCTTTGTTGGTCTTTTCAGCAGGGTAACTAGATATGTTGTAGCCAGCAGCCTTATAAGGTGAGGCTCTTCCACTGAAATGGTCACTACAGTATGTGCACTCTAACCCAACTGGTTGTTTTGAGAGGCTGCTACTCAGTTACAGCCAACTGTGCACAATCACAACATCTGAGTCACTGACCAGCAATCATGATAAACCTAATTCAGCTTTTTCCTAATCTGATAAAGGCCGAATGGCACTAGCCAGCCTCCCAGGAAACACTAATCAAACGATCAACATTCGCCGGCTATTTTGGGGTACCTGGGTGGAAGGCAAGGCCACAAGTTCCATCTGCGAACATTCGGCTATGGATGTTAATAGACTCTCTATGTCTTCCTCGTCCACGTGTTTTATTCCATTGGAGAAGCGTGCCTCCCTTTCAACTAACAACAAGAAATCTTCTAAGTCTGCCATTTTGGAGTCCGTAACTCTTTGCTCGCATTCATAACACTTTTCGTCCTTGGTTACATGTTGTACTAGATTCTGCCGGCAATGTGAAAGAGGCTTTGGTTCTGTCACCACAACACTGAGGAGCTCACAGTCGTCCTGCGAACAAGTGTCTTCAAGAAGTTCAGCTGTGGGTAATTCCTCATATCCTGAGAATGTCGTGGAGTTATGCGTTTTACTACTTGATTCTGCCAGCGTCCTGACATTTATATCTGGAAAATCGCTATTGGAAACAGCGCGCTGACCCACACTGAGGTCTGAGTTGTATGCATTATTAGGTTGTTGGCTTCCAAGCATCGATGCATCTGTGTAATACAGTGGAGTGGGTAATCTGTCTTTCATTGGGGAGAAGGGGAACTCTTCCTGACCGGAGCTGAGGGAACGCCCAGGCTTGTGGTCCCCAGGTACGTGCACCCCCTCAGCAGAAGAAAGGCTTCTTGTGCCAGGCCCAGGTCGCTTCTGGGCTCGTGCGTTTCGCTGTTCTCTCTCCACAGTGGGACTACACAGACCCGAGTCACCTTCTGAGGTAAGAGAGTTCGGCATACTGCTTCCTCTTCCCCCTCGACCCAACCCGTGTTGGCCCGTTCCGTCATTGCACAGCGTTCCGCTGAAGCTGCCGTACTCGCTGAGGTTTGCAGGGGCGAAGGTCCGCCAGGAACGGCGGTGCTGAGCTGGCTCCATTTTCTCGCCCGCTGGCCGTGGCTTACACAGCATGGTGTCTGCACCCCGGATAATATCTCCATTAAGCTTCAAGCCGTCGAACACGACCCGCTCGTCCAAACGCACTGCCTCCCTGCTGCGGAGCTCAAAGGCACTGGAGGAGGACAAGACGCCGTTCCCACAGAGTGCACTTATGTCCAGGGTGCGATGGCTATATGGTAAAGTGCCGACTAAGTGCCTTGAGGCCAGGCTGCCCTTAGAACCCGAGTTGATTTGCTCATTCAGACGCACTGTGTCATAAATGGACCTCTGGGGAACGTAACAGTCATCGATGTTGAGGTCCTCCTCCTCTCCTTTGCCCACACAGGAAGGGTTCTGCCGCAGACAGTCTGGTCTACTCAGAGGTTTGCCCATTATGACAATCACTTACAAATGACTTATAACAATGAGGTAAAGCTTTTCAGTGCAACAATCCTTAACAGACATCAAATAAACTTTTAAAAAGCCATGGGGGAGTCTTTACTTTTGCAAATCACTAGGAAACACTTTACCCCAAAGACGTAAGGAAATAAATACAGCCGTAAAGTAAATCATAGATTTTTTTAAAGAATATGTGCATGAATATACTATTTAAAACCTAAAATTACAATACCATAAAAATACTATACATTTTATAACATTTATTTTATAGAGGTGGTGAAAATAAAGTTAATGAAATAATAAATGTTTTGTTATTTCTAATATACATCACTTCTTCCTCTTATACATCCTTTTCCAAAATGACAATCCTGCTGGTTTGCATTTCTCCCCATTGTCACAACTTGTCATTGTTGCTTGTTTCCTTAGTTCTTTATAACGCCATCAGGGATGTCATCCAGTGCAAAAAAGTGCTTGGAATTTTAGAATTTCCTGAGAACTCCCATACAGTTATCCACACAGAGGTATCCAGTATGCATAATGGTGACATATCCTGATACAAATCCTCAAATCTGGGAAAACAAAGCCATAAGCTCCAGGAGAAACAAAAAGCCGCTCCTGCTTCTCTTGCGGTCCAACCAGCAATGACAGACACCCTCCTGGCACAGGGCTCAAGGCCCCGCCCCTCTCACATTATTCAGGCAACATCTGCCACAGCTCCATTTGTGCGGTGGCCGGCTCATGCTGATTGGTAGACACTTGACCCTCTTTTAATTCTCCCCTTCTGTCTCGGTGTCCCATTTGACTTAACTTCTTAGTGTGCTTCTGCTCTGACAGCAGCTCTCCTCCTCTTGTCAGGGGAGGGCAGAGAGAGAAAAAAGCAAAGCTACAAAAGCAAACGGCACCCTCTCAGATGACATCACACAAAGCAGAAATAGATATGCTTTCTGCTCTCTTGCCCTCTTCGTCCCTTGTTTCTCCTCCTCTCTGCCTGGTGTTTTGGACCCATGGAAGAGCCTGTAGTGTCTCATAATTACAGAAGAATGCTGAGGGAGGAACTGGATTGGGGTAACCTGTGCCAAGTGCATGACAGGTCTTTTTTCATGGCAAGTGGACAAGGTGGGAGAAGCATGGATTGAAGGGTAGAATGAATAAAGAATGCAGTTTGGTTTCTGGTACTTGTCAACTTTACTTGTCAGATAATCTCTGGACACATTCTAATCCCCTTCAAAGTGAACCTCACAGTATATATGCTCAAGCTCAGTACTACATGAAGTTTACCGAAAATAACCCAGTTAAACATTCAGCTTAATTCACCTCAGGAGTAGTTCATAGGCAATTGTGCATAAGTAAAAATTGAGTCCATTACAATGCCATTATCATGGGCATTAATACTGCAGTTAGCATGAAATATTGCAAATGTAACAACGAATTTGGTGTTCAGAATATGGCAAATGAAACAATTTATATAAATATTCATTACATATATATATATATATATATATATATATA